CCCTTTTCCCTTTTCCCTTTTCCCTTTTCCCTTTCCCAAAAAACAGAGTTTCCGCATACAGAACTTTAGATCTGGTACTGTCCTGGCTTTGGAGCAGTTTGGATAAAATGAGAACTCTAGGACATCTTCATAGAACTATGAAAGCCCATCTAAGGTACGAACAACGGTCTTAATATTCAGAATATTTCCTGAAATATGTAGTTTTCTTCTGATTAAACTATCTTGTGCAGTTCCTTGATCTGGTGAAGAGGCAAAACAGAAATGCCCGAATTCAGATCCCAGAATATCTTGGAGACCATTTTCAACACTGGTTTTGGCTTCTTGTATAGCTTTGTGTGAGTCATTTAATTTCTCTCTAGATATATGTTCCATCCCCAAAGTGAAGAAAATACATGACAATTGCACAAGTGGGAGAAATACATTCATTTTTGTAGCTGGGATTTCCAGGGACAGTTAGGTGTGGTACCCAGATCCGTTTCAAAGCCACTGGAGTGTGGATGCTTATCTTTGAGATTCACTTCAACTGGCAGTGACAGCTGCCCTGGGCATCTTGTCATTGACTTGGCTGAAAGTAGAAACAGGTAGAACTTCATTTACTGAAATGCTTAAGATTCAAAAATAAGAAGAGTGTGGGTGAGTAGTAGATACATAGAGTATGTAGATTCTCATTATTTCCCCTCCATGTTAGACATCCATTTTTATTTACTCTGAGGAGTGGATATCTCCTCTTACCCTATATTACCTAGGGTAATAGCATTTAGGGTTCCTAATATCCCTAGATATACCTTAGATATTATATTTCTGAGAAAGTAAGGTATGAATTGGAGTACAGAATGTGACTATTAAGGCTTTCTAACTTGCGTATCAGCTACAGCAGACTACGTATTTAAGCTGTTACTGTTCCCTCTTTTAGTTTCACATTGTTCCAGGTCTCAGTCAAGAGCACAGAGTGTGTTCCTGATTTTTAGAAAGTTGCTGAATGCCATCAAGTGACACCAATATAATGAGTCCCTTAGCTAAGGGCTGTGTGCCAGAGTGTTTAAATTCTTTGGAATACTAAACTAGTTTGATATTAGTTTGGATGCTGTCACACAAAGAGCAGAGGAAAAGTAACGATAGGATTTTTTCCTTTTCTGAAATTCGATGTATGAAATATTATCCTCTCTCCTGGCTTTGCAGATAAATGTGGTTGAAATGCGTCAAATTCTGGAAAAGTCCAGGTGATTCAGCTGAAAGTGGCGGAAGAGGGTCCGTATCCCAGCTTGCTCTGTAGGAGTCTTGAGTCTTTCAGGGAAGGGTTGTGGGGTTGAGACAAAGGGGACAATGCTGCTCAGGTCCTTCAGTGTCCCTTTTAAGCAGCTGCAGAACAAAAGCAAATATTTCCTCTGTGTAATAAACTAGCATGTAACTTACGGTGTATTCTAATTTTAAATGATACGTGACCTGGGAATTCTTTTATTGATCAATTAAAATTCTMTTTCCCTGGAAGCCCAAAGCCAATAGAAATTATTTGCCCCCGTTCATGCTTCTCATGCTTTAAGGACTATTAAAATTTAGAAGACTATTTGCCCCAGAAGTGATGAAGGCCTCAAATAAACTGATTGAGACAAAACAAAACAGCTACYGCTCTGCACCTGTACCCCAGCACAGCCCAGTGTGGTCCAGTTACTTCCTGATGTCACCTGGGACTCGCTGTGTTCTTCTTTGCCGACAGTGGGCTCAGTGTGTGCAGAGTCATGGGCCTCTCTGGCACGTTCTGGCGAGTAAGATATTAAAATGCCCTATTTGGTGGCAGCGGACCAACGCAGGAGGCCTCTCACCCTGCCTCCGAGCAGCCCGAGCGCTGCCAGGGCTGCCAGGGGACTGCGTGGAGCGGACACACGGAGCTTCCTGCACATGAATTAGCTCTTCTCAGAATGACATTTTGCCCATTTCTCGTGGTAGCCAGTGTGTTTTGTATGGTGTGCTTCCGCTTCATGCAGGAGGCTCCCTAAAGTTGGTCAAAGTAGTCTACTGAGTATGAGTCTACTGAGTATCTATCCTTATGAGTGTACATAGATACTCAATAGACTTAATATGTACACTGGGTGTACATAAGGATAGATATCTGCCTTAAGAAAAGGACTGGTTGTTTTGTGCAGAACAAGTTGCAGTTGGAGCACCAATCCTGCTCATATCTTTCTGCGGCTTTATAAATTAGGAGGAGGGCATTTGGAAAAAAAAATAAACACTTGCATCAACTCAAAGGATGGGAAATRTATTTACCTGAGTCCTAGTTAACACTTTGCTGGTAATCACTTCCAGCCTTGTTTTTTCTTTTAAACTATTTTTGTATAGAGAAGTTTTGCTTTACAGCACCCTCGCTATTGAGAAAATGTGCCTCTCTCGTTGTAATGTTGACAGCATTTTGAAACAGTGAGCTGTAGCTGGAGGGTTTTTTTTGCTTCCAGAAGCAGTAATTAGAATATGTCAGAATTTGGGCTTTGGTCATTTATGCTCATCAATCATTTTTCAAATGTGCATCTCCAGGAGACAGCAGACTTTTACCATATAAATTCAACCTCTGCAAGAGAGCACTAGAGCCAGGAAAGTGTAATTTATTGAGCTTGCCAGTGCTTTCTTCAAATGYAAGGATTGCTCTTGTTTCAACATTTTGTCAGCAAATTGTGGCTGAGTAATGAATTGTCTGCCTCTGTTACCAAGTATCTGGAATTTATAAATCTGTCAGGAAAGCCTTTAATATACAAATCTCTGAATGTTACTAAAGTTCCTTATGGTTATCTTTAAGTAAGCTACGGTTGCTAAGAAATGCCATCTTAATGATGAGAGTAATGAATCTGTTAGAAGTAGATGGGTTAACTGTGAGTTAGCTGGTTCTTGGTGCTTTAGGAGCAAGGGTCCAGTTCTTTCTCACCTTGAAACTGGAGCCAAGCACTCATCTCTCCCAGCCACGGTGGGTTTATTTAGATAGTCACAGTTTTGTAAGCAACTGTGTATACTGTTAGTTGCTACTATCCGATAAATTCCTCACAGTTTTAAAAGTAAGGATGCAAAAACAGGGATGGACACTTTGGCTTTAGGAGTATGGCATGCAGTCCATGAAGATTTCCCTACTTTTTCCTGTTTTTCCATTTTTCCTATGTTTGGTTAGGCGGATGAGAACGAAAAAATGCATTGTGGATGTGACGAGCMCTATTATGAAATAGGGGATTTTGTCCCTCCTTTCTCTGAAGATTCTGTAATGCAGAATTCTTCATTTCTTCTTCAATTATTAGGAAATTTTATATGATTATATGATTCTGTTTCTCTAAAGATATGGGGCTGAGTGGTTTTTAAACGTTCCTGTAGAGCTAATAATGGTTCAAAGTTGTTAGCAGAGATCATTTATTTTAGAACAAACATATATAAATATTGAATACTTTGGTGGAAAAAATTGTAGCTTATGGCTGTGCTACAAAGTATTGCTTTGGATGGGATCATTCCAGACACACTTCACCCAATTAATTTTAATCCGCAACATAGTTAATATTATTTAGTAGTAATTCTGTTAATTGGAAGATGTATCTGTGATGKAGGCCTGATGTATAGCAGGTTTAAGATGTTCAAAAGCTTGTTCCTGTAGGTTGGGTTTAGGTGACTAAAACATAGTCTATTTGTTGKTTAAGTCATACTCAGCATAGTTAGGCAAAGTGGATAGGGCCTTCCCTCCTCCAGAACAAATATTTACTTGGGGCAAATGAACAATTTCTCAGTTATAGGAGTTTAATTTAGTGTCCATCTTGTAAAGGTAAATAGAAGCTATTACAATATTTTATTTGGAGTCAGATACCTTTTTTCACATCAATGCTATGTTTTCAGAATAGTTTCCTGATGTCAAGCAAGGAATATCATGCAGGAATGGAGGAAAGTGAAATGAATTTATTTACAATAAGAGCTGTTGGAGAAAAACTCTTGGCTTTTCCAGGAGGAAGTGAAGATCAAACATACATTATCTTCACAGAAAAAAAAGAAGTAGCTATTTTATTTTGATACCCAGAACTCTTCTTTCACAGCTGATAATACGTGGCACACCATAMCTTTTTGTGACTGAATGGGTGAAGGGTTAATAATTTTGTGAATTCATCAGCTGGATTCATAACTGGATTTTGGGACTGTTAGAGATCCTCAGTAATTACAGTAACTCAGAGAGTATATGAATGGTGTAAATGAGCTATGAGATAATACTAGATAGATTGTKTGCTCACAGGTTAAATTCTAGTTCCTAAGGCTGTTGGTTGTTTACTGGTCTGGACCAATGAAGTGCTAAAAGCTACATACTGTGAAATGTTAGACTTTGATGAAAGATATGAGGAAAGAAACTCTTTCCTTTGCCAACACTGTGGTCAACAGCAGTGCCCTGACCTGATTACTTAAGATGATGTTTTTCCTAAATCTGTCATGAATCAGTAATTATCGAGTTTTGCAATACTCAATGATTCTCTTGTGAATAGCAGAAAGATTTGTTTTGTAGGTTGGTATTCTCTGAAAAGAGGTGTTCAGCTCTTGCAGCGGCAAGCTCTATACAGTACATTTCTCTTTTTTGCCAGGAGAACTGTAGCAGGCCACAACAATTCTGAAGAGTAACAAAATGAGAGGAAAATTTAGTCTGACCTAGTCTGGACATGATCTGCCTTATTTTCTTTTTTTTTAATAAACCTTCTTTCAGTTGTTCTTTTACATTAATCGCTGTAAGATATCCAGTTCAAGTATTCACTTGTAGGGCTCCTAGTAGGAAAAGGAACTTGTACAATTATGATATTTTAATAAGGTAATCCCAGAAAAAATCCGCTTTCAATTGCACTGAGGGCTGTGCACCACTGTTAGGTGTGCTGTGCAAAGGATAGGAGGAGGGATGAGGTCCTTGAACATGGCTGGGAATTCAGCCTATGCTCCCATTTGGTATGGTGGCATGGTATTAACAGGTGGCYTTGGAGCCCAGGTTAGCCTTTGCAATTAATGTCTGAGCCCTCTGAGGAATAAGGGACCAAAATTAGGGGAACATCTCAATTGGAATGAAAGTTGTGGGAGCAAAATACCTTGTCTCTCTAGTAATTAAAAATAAGGATTTTTCCAGCTGGGATGGTAAAGCCTTTGTCTGGCTTATCTGAAGGATGCTTTTCATTTATGTCCTTGCAGATCTGTGGTCAGAGCCCAGTGGAATCTGGACTTCCCCTCATGCTGTATGTGAAGTTGCTGTGGAGCCTGCCCTGCCCCTATGCTTATGTAAGGTATGAGGTTGTGTAGGAGGAAAGAGGAGCTGCCCTCCTGTCATCTGACTATCATTTGTTGGCTCTTGCTGGGTTAGCCTTACAGAGTGGAACATACAGAGAAGCAAATGTAAATGCTAATGTTTGTTTTAGGATATAGTGTAACACTGGTGAAGACATATGGATGGCAGGGATGACTTGATGGCAAGAAAGGGAAAACGGGAATCAGCCAGTTCCTTTTYGGTGAAAATGGCTTAACACAGATCTGTGGTTTTAAATAAATGTGCACATTAAAAGAATGCTGACCTTTAAAAACRTGGTTTACAATGAATTGCTATTGTTGCTGTTTCAAGCATATGGACTTAAAAGCAGCACAAAATACTGTAAGTGTAAAAGACAGGGGATGCACAATGGAAACAGAACCCTGGTAAAATAAAGTGATTTTTCTTGAATGGGGCTCTCTATGTGTGAAGTGACCGCAGAATATCTTCTAAAGTACAAGGACATTACATACATCTCAGAACTGCATGCCAAACTGATGATTTAAAAGGGAATCACTGCGTTTTGCTCTAAAAATGTCTTTCGAAGTTTTTTGAACCCAAACTATATATCGTAGATCCATTATTTAGGAATGTAATGAAATCAATTCCTCTTTGGGCTAATGAAGATCTGAAAATATAGAGCTGCCCTCTAGTGGCAAAATGGGAGTATGAGGTGCATTTGTCTCAATTGCTTGAATTGTTGGTTGAAAAGCAGAATGTTTACTGGAAGGCCAATTGAAACAAAAATGGGCCTTTTTTTTTAAGACGTTCTTTAATTTCAGTTCGCATCAGACAAGATGAAATATTAGACATAGAACACAGGCATGATGTTCTCTGGCGAGACTGTATTTTCACACTTAACATCCCATTTGATATGGAGAAGAGCTCTAAAGTCTACATGCAGGGTTTGGAAGCAAGTTGGCATTGGGGATTTTGGTTCAGCTCATTTTGGGAAAAGGAATTGTCTCTGAAATTGTGTTGCATCTTAGTTGATGGCTTTGCCCTAGTTTGCTGCTAGGTGGAAAAAACCTTACCTGAATGGCTAGATTGATCATCTTCTAGTTTGTTTGGCCTTTTGTTCTAGTTCATAAAGAAGGGAACTGTCACAGATCAACTGAGCCAGAGTTATGGATCCTGTGAACAGACTCAGCTTAAAAAAGGAAGACAATGTCTCTGTGGAGAGTGTCAGCATATTATAGCATAATACATGCAATTAAACTGATTTTCCTTTTGTTTAAGCTAGAGCATAACACTGTCCCTCTATTTAGGTCAGTTTACTTAATGTAAAGTTGTCATAAAGAAGAAAAGAATTGGAATGAGTTATATAAAAGATGTACTAAGCTATTACGTACAAACCTTACGCCTTTTTGAGACTTTATTTGTTGCTTTGTCAAAGTAATTAACTAAAGCTGTATAATATTGTTATTTGGAAAAGTACATGAGTTTCTGTCATCACCACAGATGATGTTAGATGGGACGTTAGGGAGAACTATATTTTTCTGTGCTGGTGTAGTATTCTCTGAAGCTACTGCAGTATGTTCCTGTCTTGTTGTAAATGTCTATTTAACCAAATTGCAACACGATAGGCTAGAATAAATGATTCAGGAAAAAGGTCTGAACTCTTCTAGCTTGGCAGATTATGAATTTTAAATCTAATAATTTGGCTTAATGATCATGTTCTGGAAATGACTGTCTGAAGATCCCAAWGGGTGCCAGAGGGGGATAGGTGAATGGCTGCATTGTGTCCATGTGCTTTTTGAGATTACAAGGGAAATGTGTATGGGGAGGATGAATGAGAGAAAAATAGAGGGTTTTGGAAGGCATTTGCAAAGGAGTTTCTTTGGGTATATTAATTATCAGTGTGGAGAAAAGAGGAAGTAAAGAGAATACCAATTGCACACAGTGTCAATCACTGCTTGCTGCCTGTGCCAAATTTTCAAAGGATTAAAAGGAGAGGGAAGATGTCTGCCCAGAGAAGTCAATATAATAAGCAAAGTCTGAGGAGTGTTGATGAATAAGGTTTTCATTTATCTAGGCTTACAAGGTACATCTTCCTCCTACTTAGGTTTCTTTACAGTATCTTTTGTTTTTCTCTTCATAAATTTAATGTTCCTAGAAGCCAAAAATTAATCTCTTGGTGCTGCAGCTATGAACAGAACTATGGCACATTAGTCTGCTGGAAGATGTGTATGTGTGCATACCTACACACCCGTACACAGAGCACATGCAGCTGTGTCAGGGGCTTTCCAGTAGCACCTCTCTGTTGGTCTCCTTCTGTTCTGGAGAGGCTTCTCTGGGCTAACCTAGGCAAGAAGGTTTGGAGAAAGCTGAAAGAACATGTAGATTAGTGGAGCTCCATTCTGTTTGCACCCCCTTCAGATATGCAAACTAGAATTTCCAAAGATCATGGTGTGCTCCAGTTTATTTCTGGGRTTAGGACCCACCGAAACTTCATTTGAATCAGTCAGTCTAACTCAGCTGTATGATTGGCAAGTCAGAGGTAGAGGGCCACAGAGTCAAAGATCTCTCTCCAGACAACCCTGACATTCTGTAAATACCTATGAGGCAAATTTTTCTCTTCCTCAGAGAAGATCCAGAGAAAGTAAATACTTTCTTTACTCTTTCCCATCTGTCTCATCACCTGTRCCCAGTACCCTCTCCAGGGATCAGTGCTCTCTCTGCTACTGCAGTTTGGCACCTCTCGTTGATGAGGGATGAGGGGTTTGTGTGGGGATATCTTACACAAGGAAAACAGGTGCCAGAGGAACATGGAACTGCTTTGGGCTTAGCAACATCTCTRCCTTTTATCTAGCCTTGCAGAAATATTCTGAGGCTGGAACCCAAAGTATTTGCTTGCTCCTCTGGTGCCAGTTTTCTTTGATGTGAGATACTTGGTAGAGATTATAATCTTCACCAGACTACCTGTGGAGGTTAATTAACATGAGAAAAACATTTACTGTATCCTTCAGGCATATGGTAGAAGCTGCAGCCGTGAGGGATCTCTAGGGAAGCTTGTGTTTTCTTGTCGGTTCACAGCCAAGAATATAGACTTAAATTCCCAGCAAAGACACGTCCTTGTTCAGGCATTCAGTGAGGAGTGTAAGCTCTGCAGTGGACCTCACTGTAGTTCCAGCAGTAAAAAACTGTAAGCATCATGAACTATGATTTGTTTTCGGAAAGAACTTGGCAGTTTTCCATGAACACTAGGTATCTGTCTAACTGAATTCGCAAGTTCCTCCAGCTGCCCTGGGGAGCTTTGCAAGTTCCTTGAACCTCATTCTTGTTCCCATGGAAGTTAAAAGATGCGAGTGCTTTGCCAGCAGAGCTGGTAAATTCCAAGAACCTCAGATACTGGATTCACAGAAATTACAGCCCTGCTGGCCACACTGGTCAAGCTAGAAATGTTTTTAAGTTTCATGAGCCATAGTTGTTTCTACATGTAATTTGTAAGTTCCATTTGTGAAACTGCGTAAAGGACCTTGGCTCAAACAGCAAGAGCTTTTGGTGGTTACAGCCTCTGCCAGCTCAGTGCATATGCAGGGCTTGGAGAAGTTACAGATGTTTTTTCAGCAGAGCTTGTAAACCTATAGTAGACCTAGTGGTCTCTGGGCAGAGTCTTTTCAGGGTAATCCAGCCTGTAGAGCTACCAGAGGAGATACTGCTGTCATGATCTGCAAATTTGAGGGATGAGATATAATCAAAAACCTTATGAAATGACACGGTACTTATTCTGGAGTCAAAAATTAATCATTTGTGGGCATAATAAATTCTGCCTCTCAACTGGCAAGTTTGGAGGCTTTTCTGTAATATCTTGATGTGAATCAAGATTGAAAATACCAAAGTGCAGATGTTGCTGAATGCAAATATGAAATCCAGGGGTCTTGAACAGAAAGATTTAGATGAGAAAAGTAGCAATCTTTTGTGGGAAAGTTTGCCTCTAGTAAAGATACCAGATGTGCTGTGTTCAGATGACAAGGAGGGAGATTTTTAGTGTTAGAAAGTTAGRGTGAATTGGGTAAAAGGTGGACCTTCCAGTGCTTTTTTGAAGTTCCTCAAATGCTTCCATATCAKTTGTAATAATGCATTTGGAAAGAAGTAACTTTTCAGTTTTATTACCACATCTGACGCTTCAAAATCTCTAGCAAAAAAGAAGACAAAGATAGTGAGCTTTTCCTACGAACAGCATGCTGTGTAAGGTACTGATAGTTTGGATCAGGGAATCCTGTATATACTTGGCATCTTTGAATCCTACCATTTCATGAAATTTGGAGTCTGGACTCTCCACCTAATATTATTTCAAAATTATGTTAGTGTATAGTTATAGGAGTTCATACATAGTATAAACTGATTAAAACCATTAGAATATATCACATATGCAGAAGTAATGCCAGAAATGCAATAGAAATCTGTGCTGATGCACTGCTGAGCTTTTCACAACTAGAATTTTCATTCTTAACTCAGTTTTCAGCAACCTTTCTTAATGTATTACATGCCCTCTTTGCTCACACATTCTTAATCTGCAAAGGATGCTCTCTGAATAGAGGTAGGTGCTGGAGAATACAGTTGTAGAACTGGAGTCTAAAGGTACAGTTCTGTGTTTATTGTTAACTATATGAAGTATATGCTACAGTGTGATGTGTTTATTGTTAACTATATGAAGTATATGCTACAGTGTGATTATACTTCAAATTGCCAGCTTTGTAAAGGTGTTATTGCAGTTACATACATTTATATACAGGCATTTTCATCATAAAGCTGGCTGGCTGTTGTCAAGGAAATTATGAAAACAGGGGAAAAAGGGGTTACTGAGTGGATTTACATTTTCAGTTTATTCTTTGGTGTTCTTTCTGCAATCAAAATGTATTATTGCTTTTGTGACTTCACAGCATTGCAGACAGGTCAAAAAAAAAAGGATTGATCTTATAAAATATTTAGAAATGCTTCCATTATAAAGGTTTGTCCTCTATTAGCTGCAACATA